CGTGTTGAGTCCCTCCCGTTAACCGCTTTCGCGGGATACTGGGCACCGACGGGGCAGGGGACGGGGGAAACCTGGGTTTTCACAAGTCGGAGGGGCAATCTATCACGCCCATCGAAAAATCTTAAAGGTCGGACGCGTTTGCGGTTTCTATTCAAGTCATTTTTTACAAAACCTTAAACTGGCGGTTATTTTGCGGGTCGGGCGATATAAGGGGTCTACTAGAGATGCTCTAAGTCTGGTACAACAAGGTCTCGAATTCGACTAGATCCTGAATGTCCAACAAGTTTTTCATGAACGGATCATGTCATCCCACACATACTCCCTATTCAGCTTCATCCAACAGTGTGTGCACGTAAATGACCCCTATATCCTGTGGTACACCATGACAACGCGTGTGGGATACATATAATGTTAGACCAACATTGACTGAATGAATCAATCAACAAGTTGAGCAAGAGGAATAAACACTTACAATCTCGTCCTCTGCCGCGTGAAGTGGCCACCTTGCCTCGAGCTGACGAACCACATCGCAAAACTTGGTGACGTTGATCTGGATAGCGTGTCAGTGATACGACAATGACCTCACGTTGCATGGTTGAATGATGTACATGTCGTAGGACACTGTGCTTTCGTGCATGAAACTTTTCATGCACTTGCTCCCAAAAGGGCTCCCCTTTGCTCCTGCCTCTGAAATCTGCAGATACAGCCAGCCACGCATCGCACAACTTATCCTCCATGGTCGAGTAGCTGGTCATCCCGCGTACTCTACAAAACGACATAGCATTTGAAAATAAGCTCAATGGCATTTGACCGAACACCTGCCGGGTGTGGTATCTGCCATGGAGGTTGTCCACAGGGGGTGGAGTGTACCTTGGTACAAATGGCTCCAGGGTGGAAAGCTCTGTCCTAACAGTGAGCGGGCGCATCGATGCTGGTTGCGGACGTCCGGCAATGCCTCTGTGGCGGCCGGAGACGTACAACGGCGATGATAGAGGTGGAGGGTGCGGATGCAAAGCAAGGGGGAGAAGGGGCAGAGTGGAAGGAAATGGGACCGGGAGGGGGGGTTGGATGGGCCGTGGGTGCCGGAGTCCTACATTTCGGGTGTCCGAACTCCCGCAAACCTCTCCCACTTTGTCGCAAATTTGCGGGAGAAATCACGTCTGGACTGTCCCTCAGACCGATACATGCCCACATTGGACAACTTCCTCGGTCCGGACGGACGCAGGCAGTTTGTGGGTCCGCCTTGGATATGCCCTTACATGAGAGCCTACTCTCCTTACTTTTTCATGTCTCTCTCCTCCACATAAGCAAAATTGCCATGTAAGCGGGCTATAAGCCTGCTATTGTACTTGCTCTGAGAGTGTGGTTCATAGTAGGCTATATGATTTGGCCACATCATCTATAGTCAAGCTTATAACCGGTAAGTATAATAGATATATATAAATATGTATTACTTTATTGATGCATGACCCGTCTTATTCTCTCACATAGTGCTTAGGAGCACGTGTTGCGGTCGGCTGTTAAAACATAGCCTGCTTCTTTTCTCTTTTCTCCAACTCAGCAACAAAATAATACTTTCTCCGTCCCATAATATAACAGCGTTTTGTATACTAGTGTAGTGTCAAAGCCCTATATTATGGACATTCGTCCGTGAGGCATTAGGGCCTGACTGGGAGGCCCTCGACCTCACGGAGTTCCTCCAGTATAGGGCTCTGCAACAGTCGAGGCATCACCGCCTTTTCTGGCTTATATTCGCGGCGATGACCTGGACGCTTTGGACGACTCATAATAAGATGGTCATAAAGAAGGTATTTCCGAGGAAGGCATCTGACTCCTTCAAATTCCTTGCTTTTACGCAGCATTGGCACCCGCTCTCGAGGCAACATGATCGTGACAGGCTCGGCCTCATGATGGATGCGCTCTTGGCTTCTGCGCGTCGGCTATCCTCCTCGTAGTGCTGCTTAGCGGCTGTCACTAGTTGGTTTCTTTTTCTATTTCTCTCATGTTTTCTTGGGCTTGAATGTGTTGTGGCCCCAACCGTCGTTCTTGAGATGTTGGTTGGATGTTGGTTGTTTGGACCGTTGCTTTATTTATAAAGCGGGGCGAAAGCCTATTTCAAGACAGCCCACCTAATACATCACCTTATTGTACTTGCTCTGAGAGCGGGCTAGATATCCTGTGCTCCAACACATTAGGTGCTTCCATGCTACTACCATCTTTTTTTAAAAGAAATTTATTGTTTTAAAAAAATTGAAAAAATGAGAGTGTTCAGAAGAGATGTGTTTACAATATATAAGAAGTTCAATTCAAAATTCAAAACCCACAATGAGAAACAAAAAGGAAAAAAGTCAGCATGAATAGTGAGAAAGACAAAAGTCAAAATGATAGTACTATTTACATTTGGATTTGTCTTTTCCTTTCATGATGTGTATTTTAAATTTTCATTTGAACTTTTTGCAAAGTGTAAACATATATCTTGTGAACACTCAAAATTTGTTTTGGAATTTTTGAAATGTCAAAATATGTTTCTTAGAAAATGGTAGCTTGGTAGCACTTTCCCAGCAACATTAAGGAGTTGTCACGTTATTCATAGTCAATTCACTATGACGACTCTGCTAGAGTTGATTTTAGGAAGGTGATGATTATAGACAATGTCCAAGCTCAGGTCTGAACTTACATTCATTTGGGAGGTATGAAGACGAGTTCTTTAATGTACAGTGGCATGTCTTGGTGAAACAGTTGTTGATGAGTTTGTTTCTTCGGTAGCTCAAATTGAATATAAAGTTAGATTTTCAATGTCACATGTTTATGAAACATCACTGTAGTTAGATATTGCATTTCCAATAAAAATAGAAAAACAAACATGGTTTCCAGGGTGTTCTCATTATTACTTGGTTTCCATGAGATAATTTCTCATCTAAGAAAACACGACACTTTATTTCTTCTTCCACATAATGTACTAATTTGTTATTTGAGACTATTTTCTATCTATTTTTGAAAAACACAATATTGACGCACAGTCACCCCTATGAATGCACACAGTATAGATGCAGATACTTACATGCACATGCATAGTCATTCCTCTGAATGCACACATACACATCCACCTCTACAATCACCTTCGAGAGACTGAGCCGGTAAATCTTGAGATCGAAGAAGTCGTCAGATGCTTCGTAGTTGACGGTCATTCCACACCGCCAAAGGATAAAAAGAGATTTTTGTTCTTCGAATTACAATCCTTTATTTATGTTTCCTCCAAAATTCAAGCCTTTTGCTCCAAACTTGCCAGGGCTGCCAGGGGGAACCTCTGATAATCCAAGCTAGGCTAGTTTTCAAGAAAAACGATGATCCAAAGCTAGTACACTACGCATGCGTTTTAAACTGTCCTTTCCGTGCCCAAGGAAAAAGGCAGACGCAGAGGTGGGACCACAGCGAGCAGCAGCTCAGCAAGCAAGGACGGTTTGCATAAAGGCATTCAGATGATTTAAAATTCGGAATGCACCCGCCGCTAAAGTAGTCTTCTTTTCCATAAAGACCCTCGAGGGTAATCTGGACGCCGACGGATAAGGAGCAATGGTCTGTGGAGGGGTGTCGGAGGCCGTTCCTTTGTTTTCCAAGGGCTTAAAATCGAAACGGGAAAATGACAAGGGCCATACTGCAATTGTCAACTCTGCTCACTCACTAGGAGATGGACTGCTAGAGAGAGAGAGAGAGAGTATGATGACCCCATGACGGCATGACCTTTGGCCCCTTCGGTCCATGGAGTACAAGAAGCACAAGGCAGCCAAAGCAGAGGCGTTTACACCAGCACCCAGGACAGCAAGAAACAGGGCAGGGAGGGCCTATGGCGCTGTAGCTCAGGGGGGCAGCGAGCAATGGCGGGGGGATGCGGCGGCGAAGGCACGCTGGCGAGGTGGCGGCGGGCGGCAGCCAAGCGGATCGGCCTCTCCTGCGCCTCCTTCTTCTCCTCCCACGCCGCCTCTCCCTCCCCGCCGCCTCCCAAGACAGTAATACTCTCTCTCCCTCTCCCTCTCCCCCTTTCCTTCTCTACATTTCATCAGAGAAACTCCTTTTCTTCTTCCTCTGGGCTGGGGATAGATAAGTTTTGGTTTCTAGCCATCTCATCGGTTTGTGACGTGATGACCTGGTTTGGGGTGCTTTTTTGGTTTCTCTCTCACACACACGTCAGTGAGCAGGCGGTTTCATGTTCCTTTCTTAATCTTGGTTCTGAAAACGATTTCTGGTGTCCTGCGGTTCTTTCTCAAATCTCAACGGGAGGGGAGGATTGTTGCAAATGCCTCGCTTCCTAGTTGGCTTTGCTGATCTTCTCCTAGAAATTTTCTGATGAGGCTCAGTAAATTCCCAAGTTTTAACCAAGTTGAATCAACAGGAGCACGCCTGTTGCATTTTCTTCTCCTCCTATTCCAGCAGTACCGCCTGCCCAGCCATGTGTTCTAGGTACTGTCCACTCATTTATGGAAATGATTGTTCTAGCCCTCTCCCATTCCATCTTCGTACTACTAGCACCTTGGGAAAATTTTGCGCATCCGACGTACCGTTCCTGTGGTCCAATTACATCCCCACCAAAAATAGATCTAGACGTGCCACTGAAAATTTGTATCTATGAAAAAAGTTGTATCTGAATTTGTTTCTTTCAGTTCTCTGAATCTTTGGTCCGTTGATGGTTGCTGCAACCCGCACTGCACAAGGCACACGGACCATATTTTGTCTTCGCTGGTTTTTAATTCATTTTACCCATGTTTCTCTCTTCTTCCAACATGTTCTTTCTCTCTCTCTCTCTCTCTCTCTCTCTCTCTCTCTCTCTCTCTCTCTCTCTCTGTGTGTGTGTGTGTGTGTTTTCTTGGAACTGAGCAATTGTCTTTAGCTATTATCCACTTTCTGGTGTATCTTTACACCAGACTGAAAATAAATAATGTTTCTCCAGTAACTTGACTGTTAGCGGTGCTAATGTTTCAGCATTGTACTTGTGTTTAGATAAGATGTACGAGTACTACATGGGTTGTTGGTGGCTATGCGTGTGTGTACAGTTTCTCTTTGAACCAACATTTTCTTCTATATCCGTCTGGATCTTAAATATCATTGATAGCTACATAGAAATTGAGGTGAAAAACAGCGTACAGAGTGGCTAACCTTTCCCCTCTTTATCTTTGCTCCAACAGTCAAGAGTGTTGCTAAAATATAAATTTGTTATGTGTTGTCAAGAACTGAGGCTTGTAATGCATATGCAGATCTCATGTTCAGCAGTGAATGCGCCCGCAGACAGCAGTGATGGAGAGCAGGAAAAGCTGGAGGAGCCGACCAGCACTAGAATGGCTGACAAGGTACCACCAGCTCTATGCCCACTCACTACATCTTTCCTTTTCCTTTCTTTATTTTCTTGTTCCATTTGGACCACCGGCCCTGTTCTTAATTTCGATAATGCAGCTTTTCTATTTTTATAGATATGTAGGAGCTGTCTGTTTTCTCTACTAAAGCATAGGTAGTTGTTTTTAGATGCATCCACCAATTTACCTGTGAAGAGATCAGGGACATGCTTACCTACTATCAGGTTGCAACAAACTGAGATAGCAAGAGACAAGCTAAAAGGAGAACTTAGGGTAGGAGATCGGATTGCGAACGGAAATCTTGATCTCGTGGGTTTCACTTCACTTAGTCCACCCCAATAAGTTCTCACTTTCCTCCTGTAGAAAATCGTGATATTGAGGTGGGAAAGAGGTGGAATATCACCGAGATAAGCTATTTTTCTCCTTTTGGCATGGAAAAAATTCGAATGACGATCATTTTGACGATTTAGATTCTGGTGAACCGACTTATATCTGCCATCCTTCGATTCACAATGATCTAGACTTCTGAGGTTAGCTGTCGCTATATCTAGAACCTTAATGTCTTACTTTGGTAAAAAAGTGACACTGTTTCAATTAAATAAGAAAGTCTGATTGTAATTCCTTTAGTGCACATGGATGGGTTGCATGGTCATCCACAATATAATATCTATTGATAGACTTCTTTGTTTTTGCGGTTCTACTGATAGACTATGTTAGTGTCCCTAACCTTTCTTTGGATGTGTTGGAGCCTTGGTACTTTTTTGTGGCTATCGATGAACAATCATATCGTCTCCCTGATGGCATGATACTGTCTCCCTGATGGGCTAATGGTGCATAGCAGTGCAAACATGAATATCTTATTATTGATACCTATGGTGAATTGACAATCAACAGGGCATATGTCGTTTCGTTACTATGCACATTTCTCAAAAACTAACGAATAACGCGCTATTTAAATTGTGTAACAGAAACTATTAGTGGTAAAGCCTTGGCGCAGTGGTAAAGCTGCTGCCTTGTGACCATGAGGTCACGGGTTCAAGTCCTGGAAACAGCCTCTTACAGAAATGTAGGGAAAGGCTGCGTACTATAGACCCAAAATGGTCGGACCCTTCCCCGGACCCTGCGCAAGCGGGAGCTACATGCACCGGGCTGCCCTTTTTTTAAACTATTAGTAAAGTTGTGACCATGCAAATTACACATGTTGCCATCCATGTTATTATACCATGATCTTGGTGTCTATCATGTCAAGATCCAATTAACCTTGGTGCTATATGGCGCTAGTGCTTATCCCTAACATCACTATGTTAACAACAATCAAGCTCTGCCAATATGCTGTTCTGTCAATAAAGGAATTTTGCTTCTGAACATTCCATGTTATTATACCATGATCTTTGTAAATTTCAACATTAACCACCAATAAAGGAATTTTGCTTCTGAACTGTCAGGGTCAACATAATAGCCCAATGTTTCTTAGCTGGCTTGAAGTCAGGGCTTGAATGGCGTTGCATCCATGTGAGGCTTGAGCCTGCGCCCTCGTCCCACCCCCTGGGATGCACTGTGGGCGATATCTCCTCTAGTTGGTATTCTGGGAGTAGTAGTTGAGTTGGTATCTAACAAGCACAGTCGATACTTAACAGTGTTCGTCAGTACAAGCCTCAAAATAAATAGATTTTTGTCTCTCGAATTGTTTTGCCCAACTTTGTTGCAATCTCAACAGGCTGCAGGAACTTAGGAACCTTGATAACATTTAGCAGGATAGCTTGGAGGAACTTGTGTTTCAGTTATTTGTAACCAATATAGAGGCAACGGCAATTGATAAGCCAAAAATATATATTACATGCCTAATCACCTTATGTCCTGAGGCAGTGTTCTAAAGCAGGAACACTCAGGTTGCTTCATGTATATCAAAAATTGTTTTGGGCTTTTGGTTGGTTGAAACATTCGCTGGGCACACAATGCAGAACATACTCTTCAATTCATGTTTTCGTTATCTAAACATATTCCAGCTTGCAACCTATGAACGGTTGCCAATTTGCCATGTATCAGACTTACTATCTGATAGGGTGTTAATCAGGCTATATATGGATTTACGAAAATGGTATTTCCTCCATTTTAGATATGTGTATGTTAATTGAAGCGTCAAATGAAGCAGATATTATTTTCTGATCTTGCAAAATCCTTCCTTTAGCATATGCTCAACTTGTTCTAGAATGAATAGTTTACAGTGTTTTGTTTCCCACCAAATCCAAGCTGTAGTGATTCTCTTTATATTGCTTGTATGTACAGCAGGTTTACATTCTAATCTGGTCCCACATTTTCTCAGATCTCGTATATTAACTATACTATTTTATACTATATTTATATGCAGAACTTCTGTGCAATATGTTTGGAGACCCTCAGCACTAGCAGCAGTGGCATTGACAACTGTGACAGGCCAGCGATATTCACAGCCCAGTGCTCCCACTCTTTCCACTTCTTGTGCATCGCCTCCAACATCCGACATGGCAATGTTACATGCCCAATCTGCCGTGCGCAGTGGTCTCAGCTGCCACGTGACCTGAAGGTGCCGCCATTGCTGCACAACCAGTCCGATCCAATCCTTCGCATCCTTGATGACAACATTGCGACATCCCGCGTCAACCGAAGGTCCTCCATCCGTGCTACCCGCTACAACGATGATGACCCTGTTGAGCCTTACACTCTGACTGAGCATGTTGATCCATGCCTGCGCTTTGCCCTTATCCCGTCTCCGGTGGCAGCTCACCATCATGTGCTTGGACACTACCCTTGTGGACGCATGATGCCACCACAGCAGCACTGCCAGTACAGCTACAGCGGCTCCTCCATGGTTTCGCCGCCACAGATTGCTTCACCAAGTGTGCAAAAGCGTGCTTACCTCTCAGTCAGCCTGGCACCACAGCCAGCCATGGACTTGGTCTTGGTTGCCAGCCCTAACGGGCCACACCTGAGGCTCTTGAAGCAGGCAGTGGCACTGGTTGTCTTCTCCATGCGCGCAATTGATCGGTTGGCCATCGTCACAAATGCCACCACTGCAACTCGTGCCTTCCCCTTGCGCCGGATGTCCTCCCATGGTAAACGAATGGCATTGCAGGTCATCGAACACCTCTGCTCTGTTGGTGGAATTGATCCAGTAGGGGCTTTGCAGAAGGGTCTGAAGATACTAGAGGACCGGGCACACCAGAACCCAAGCAACTGCATTCTTCACCTCTCTGATCATCCGATACGCAGCTATGCTGGGGTAGACATGAACCGTGCGAGCATTCCGGTTCACCAGTTCCATGTCGGGCTTGGCTTCGGGGTGCAGAACAGCTTCGTGATGCATGAGTTTGAGGAGCTTCTTGCACGGTTGCTCGGCGGTGTCACAGGTGACACCCACCTGAGGATAGGGGAGCATGGTGGAGTGGTGAGGCTAGGAGAGCTGAGGGGTGGTGAGGAGAGGAGGATCCCACTTGACCTTGTGGCAGACTGTGGCTTCATACTGGTTGGTTACAGCTACCTGGAGGGCGGAAGAGAGGACCGGTCGAGGACGGGCGAGGTCGCTGTCGGGTTCGAGGAGAAGAGCGACAGCAGGTACTGCGGGGGCAGAGACATGGGGACGAGCATCGGCGGCGAGAGGAGGAGCAGCTGCTGCGCCGAGAGCTGGGATCACCTTGACCCGTTCATGGCGCGGCGATGGGCGAAGCATTTCAACGTGTACAGATCCTGAGAGTGAGTGATTGAAGAGGTGGAGGAGCTTGATGATCGGCTGAACACAAAGTCTGGTTACCAGTTTGACCAAAATGTGATTCTTGTTGGTTCTTTCTTTGCATTCTTGCAAGCATTTCTGGGAAGTGTTTGTTATTCTTTTCTTGGCTTTTGTTGTGGGTTCAGAGTCCATCCATGTTGAGGCTTTTTCTTTCTGTCCTTGTCCAGTGTGTTTTGTGTTTGTGTGTATGGATCAAATGAAAAAGCTCCAGGACGGAAGACTATGAATGTGAATGCCATCAAGTGGTGTGCCAAGCAATGCAATGTATCTTTGCTGTCGTATAATATGCCAATCTCATAATTCAAGTTTGAGAACATGACATTGAGTGCCCCACCGACATGCGCCCTTGGGCCCATGTTTCAGTGTGTCATAAGAGCAACGTGCACGAGGAAGTTTCATAAACAATCATCTTTTATGCTCGCAATTATTATTATTTTTATGCAAGTTTAGTGCCACTATTTTGATTTTTTGGCTCCAATTGTCTTCTGATGCCTTCCAGCTACAATCCTTGGGCAACAAGTGTTAAAGATGCACATTGTTCGGAAATCCAATTTGGCTATAGGGAGCATATGCTCCCGCGCGCCAAAAATGCATTTTACAAATGTCAAAAAAAGTTGAAAAAATAAGATATGTTCATTGTCACACCCACATTGTTTATTTATTTTGCAACTTCACTTCATCCCCTCTTTCTTATACTGATATATTACTATGCCATACCTTATTTTATTTTCTTATTTTGTACTCCCTCTGTTCCAGATTAGTTGAAGTTTTAGTTTTGTTCTCAATCAAACTTCTTTTATGTTTGAACAAATATACAAAAAATGCTAATATTTACAGTATTATATATGTAAATATATTTTTTGACAAATCTAATGCAACAAATTTGGTGTTGCAGACGTTATAATACATTAGGACAAAGGTAGAACTTGAAGTAATTGGAACCGAGGGAGTACAAACCTTGTACAAAATTTGATCTATTTTACTTTAATATTTTTTCAGTAATGTTCTGTTGGATAAGATACAATGCCAGGTTGTTCTCTAGTAATCACATATGGTACAATACAACAACAATGTTTGGTTCTGGGATGTTTGGTTTGAGAAAATCACCTTGACCATCACAGCTCGGTCCATCGCCGGATAATCTCTTAAATTTGGTCAAATTACCTAATCCATCATTTAGAACTAGCTTAGTGCATGCACAGTCTATACCTCAAACCAAACAGGGGTGCATTCATCATCCAGTCCCTCAAACCAAACACCTCATTCAAGCCGACAAAAAAATGGAGTTACATTTGTAAGGCCAGATAACTGAATCTACAGAGAGACGACTTGCTGGTGATAATCCGGTCCGCATCAGATTATGTGCTTTCAAAACCAAATATTCGGAAAACACCTGTAAAAATGAATGACGATAAACGTTAGTGCTGCTGCATTTCTACGTCACCTTGTTTTTTTAAGATGAAGAATTGAGCAATCACAAAGCTACATTGTTATGAAGTGAAATAAATGCATCTGAAGGTAATAGTTTTTTTTAAGTTCAGGAGTTAATGAAATCGACGGGGAGGAAATTTGCTCGATGGTTCCTGAAACATCGACATTCCCACGGACAACATTACAAACTTCCTCAACTGCATTACAAAATCCAAACACTGAGAACATAGCATGCAGAAAATGGAATCTTAATTTTTCCCGTCATGTCCACTCACGTACTTGGATGCAGGATAGTAGAAGCAGCGGGAAACAATGGGCAACAGGAAAAAAGAAGTAACAGAGGGAAGAATATTAGTTTTACCATAAATGGATGTTCTTAACAGAAAAGATAATGGCAAAGATTCCGTTGTTTGGGATGTTATAACGTGCTTGTGGTTTTTCAGAAACTATTGAGCAAGAGGTTCAAGCAAAATTATGCGTTTTATTTCATTCGACAGCACTAAAATGAGTAACTGCGACCACCATACCATCATCAGCCTGGTACTTATTCTTGTCATCTCCTGCATAAGCCAGGAGGTTGTATTTAGGATTCCATTCAACACTATTCATAGCTGCTTTACATGGAATCTGATGAATTGATCGTCCAGTCTGAATATTGGCCTGATGAAAGAAAAAAAATTGTAAAATAACTACTCTTTCATAACAGTTAGTCTCGGATAGATAAGAAATTGCACTACGTTCGTGATCACTTACAATGTCAATGAAAGGATCTTCACTGGCATATGCAATAAATTCTCCAGTGTGATTGAAGCTAACTGTTCTGACAGGCCACCTGAAATTGGTACGCATAGGGTTACTCCGGTCATACTCAGATTAACCTTTGAATGTTTTTTCCAATGATCACAATTCAGCTAACCATGATTTAGTTCAATCCCTCTTTCTAATTATGTTTGGAGGCAAAAGTCAGTGATATGAGATTAGTCAAGCCCATACCCTATTCTTCTTAATAAGAAACATTATGAGCTGTTTGTAGTCGTATTATCCAATATAAAATTAATTAAAATAGTAAATCAAAGTAACTGAAAAGATTACAAACATCCTGAATGTCGACATTGCCGTTGCCAGCCGGGCTTTGGTGGGAAGGCCATGGGAAATAGTAATAACTAGGGATGCAAGCGGGGCGGGCTAGCAGACAATACTATAGTACAATTTTTTTTTTGTCTGTAAACTTTAGGCAAGTGATGAGCAAACTATGAACTAACCAATGAGTTTTGCGCGATGAAGCGGGATGCCGCTTGCACCCCTAGAAATAACACAGATATGCACAAATCGTTTACTAATTTCAATGTGAACATCATGCCCATGGTATATCAAATATGTACTGTTACATTGAGAGAAAACTTGTTGGCCCTAACTGCGGCTAATTCAAACAAAAAGCATCTGAAGCTATTTCTATGATAGTAATCTAAAGAAGTTCAATATAGTAGATAAAGACGTACTCAAGTTTTGTGAAGGTTTTAATGCATAGCAGCTCTTTGACATTCCAAAGACTGACAAGTGAATCTGCACTTCCAACAGCAAAATACCTGACATCAAAACATTCTGTAAGTGTGACCATCAAAACAATTGTACTCTACCTGGATGTTGACATCAAAACATAACACACTAATACAATTTGTACTTGTGGAGCACAACTTGCTACTTCTCCACATGATTAGTTTGTTCAGGCTCTTAATTTATAATCAGTTCCTTCCCGCAAAAAAAAGTTTACAGTCAGTTTCAAACAAACAAACAAAAAACGCTTGGTGATCATTGTATAGTTGCGGAGAAAAGAATTTGGACCGTGTGGTGAATTTTAATTTTCTAAATTAACTCTGAATCCGGCATTGTAGATATATATGGGAGGATAACCTATGAAACCCCTGCAAGGGTGGACATGTAGCAGGTTACCTGTGGCCAGTTAGTATATCTTTGCCTAGTTATGACAAATAAGAGTGCCTAATTAACATCTTTTTGAGAAAAGCAACACATTCTGGGGAAGTTACCCATGACGAGAGCATACGAGGAGTTCTCTGCAAAATTCCATGATAATGCATTTCCTCTCTTTTTAGTAATTGAGCAAAGTGTGTGGAGAGGATCAACATCCTAATCATGGTTTTCATTCTTCCACTAAACCAATGGTTTCCATAGGCCACGGGATATATTCCCAGTATATATAAAGTTTACGACCTGGTTTACAAACGGCTATCCAATATTCGGGGGATCCCTTTCCTGAGCCCATACGTGTTTCCCTAAACCAGTTTCTCAGAAATCCTCTTCATAAATCACCTATGGAGTTACCTATAAGTAATAGGTATTTACTCAACTGCAGGTAGTTTGGATACGATTTCTCTCTAAAGATGAAGCTAGGATACAATTTCAATAGCTCTTACGAAAAGTCAGAATATAGCTTTAGTGTTAACTCAAATAGCATATCTAGCAACCCAGTAACTAGTGTAAGGAACTAAAATACAGCAAATCAACTAGATCCAGAGTAAAAACGAATCGCAAGCTCGAGCCTTTTTATGTATTTTTTAGTAAATACGGTTGGTCCTTCGTAAGTAAATACTATATATTTGTAATTCAAATAATCCTTAGGGTTCTCCCCTACCGTTCCATGTTTAAAACATGTTCAGCGCAAATAACTGAAACAACAAACTGAACAAAGAATTTTCTCACCTGTCAAGGGGATCCATTGCTATGCAATAGCACCCTGCTGTATGGGCATTTAATTTGCAGACAACATCAAGGGAAGGATAGTTGACCACCTCAACAAATCCTACATAAAGAACAAAACCGGGCAGCAGCATTAACATCAACTTATGTGATCCTGCCACCTGACATCTGACAACATCAAGGCTCCTTGTTCCATTTTCACAATTGAGGAGCTTAAATATTCATAATTAAGAGGAAAATACATCTTAGCATCTTACCAAGCCCAGTAGTTATGAAGAATAAATCTCCAGTTTTATTCCATGCAATCTCATTAATCTGGGGGACAAATCAAGAATTCACTTCAGACATTTAATAAGAAACACACACGCCACAAGTCACGAAAAACAAGAAATGCAGGAAATTGACAATATAAAGTTTAGCAAGGCGTGAACATCAGTAGTACAGTAAATGCATTATATAGATTCAGCTGGTTGGTATCATATATCATTGTGCATTCAGAGTATCAGTAGGTATCCTTACTGTTTTCCCCCCGAAAAATAAACATCAGTGCACAACTTTTTGGTCTACGACAAGACAAATGAACATGTGGCTCACTATATTTCTTATCACATCGATATGCACGGGTACCCCAAAACATAGCTAGATTTAGAACAGAAAAGAACTGCTAAAGGGTGTTTCCAGTGTCCAAACTTCATTTGTTAAGTACCTCGTAAGGGAACTTCTGTTTGTGGACGGGTTTTAGCTTCCGAACATCCACTATGGTTAGCTCATCCTCCTACAGATCATTAGCAGCAGCTGTTATTATAGCTGAACGA